AGGTCATCTTTTTGAGAAAGCGCCTCGACGGGCTGCGACCGGTAGCCCGCGTCGCTCTCGTCGCCCGCGCGCAGGCTCGCCGCAGACGTTCGGTGCTGGCTCCCCGGGAGAAGGCCAACGATCGCCCTTATTTTGCGCCAGCAGAGGCAAGGCGTGCAACCGTGCCGCGTGGCAACAGATTGTTTGGAGCGAGTGGGCCACCGCGCGGGGCGGGCGCAGCCGGCCCCCCGACGCGCGGGCCCCCGCCTGTGTTTTCTGGGATCTTTTGAACACGCTCGAAACAGTCATGCGCGAGCGGCCACTTGGCGCCGCCATGTTTTACGGTGCCCCCCATGGCACCCCTAACTGCGCATTCAGTTGCATCGGGCCCCCGTGTCTTTAATCTTGCCAGAATGTTGCATCCAGCCCCGCGAGCGCGCTCCAGGCGGCGTTCCCTGGGCACGGCGCCGCTGCTACCCTGGTCCGGCTTATCCTGCTGAAGCCCCTGGGCGACACATTAGGTTGTGCCCCTTGGTCCAGGCCGCCGTCGTTGTCGACGATCTCATCTTCCAGCGGCAGGGCGAGAACGGTCGCGTCGCGCGTGACCTCGCCGAGTCGCCCAACGCCCTGGCCGACGATTTTGCCGGGCAATGCCTGTCTGTGTCTCGCAAGAAGACTGCCGCGTGAGCCAGCCTGCCAGAAGTCCGCGCGCGCGCTGGCGGGCGCTCGTTCAATGCTCGGGGGCGGAGCCACGACGGCAGAACGCAAACCAGGCGTTGACTTCGCTGCAGGGCGGCGCGCGCGCACCGCTGCGCGGGTCGGCCGTCTCATGCTCGCGCGCGCGCGCCCCAGGTCAAGAAGTTGCGCGTCAGAGGCGCGCGGGCTCGCTCTGCCCGGGGAGTTGCCCAGGCTGGCTTGCAAGCGCCCTTTCAGCATGGAGACGAGCGCACAAGCCTCACCAACCAGCCGCTGAATTTAGCGCGGATTACCGTTTTTCGAGCATGCGAGCCGCGCGCGGCTGGCAAGAGCCGCGTGCTCAGCCTCGTGCTGCAGGGCCGAGTCCAGCTCGATCCTGCCTTCAGGGCCGCCCGAGCCCCCGTTGCAGCGATGGCCTCGGCCCTGCGGCAAGCTTGGTTGCCGCCCCATGTGCTCGCCATCGTGCGCGTGGGCTAGTCAGCATGTTCAGGTCAAGGGACCTGGTGGTGCTATGATGCTGACGCTTGCGTGCCCCGGCTGGACGTTGCACGAGTGTCCCGTTTGGCGCACCCACAGGGGTGCTGATCAATTTCGCCTAGATGTGTCCACGCTCGATGATCAAGCTTGTCGATCAAGCGGTCGAGGCGCGTCAGCGGGCCCAGGTTGCTGCAGGTGAAGGCTTAGACCATCTGCGTGATGGGTGCCATTTGGCCCTCCTGCGGCGCCTCGTATCTCGTGGTAGACCACTCGTTCCCTGGCTGACGTGTGCCGCGCGCTCCAGGAGAGCGAGAGAGCCTACCTCAGAAGCGCCATCTTCAACGGGCAGTGGCCCATGCTACGTAAAGCTGGTGGCGGCAACATGTCCTCGGCAGCCTTTGAGATGCCAGGCGCCGCGAGGCTCTCTCTGGCACCGCCACCTGTTGTGCAATTCCTCGTGGCCCGGGCTAGAGATGCCGCCTGCAGTCGCCAACCTGTTGACGCGAGAAAACATGCCGCCTGTTGTTCTGCCCGTAGAAAGGTGTCTCTGGCCTCTTCCCTCCCATTCTCTCCAGCCCCCCAAGATGAGCACATCACTTGGGTGCGAGGCTCAGGGGCCATTGAAGGCCCAGATGTGTATGTCGACGGCGCCGCGTACGAGGCCCCGTATCCCGACTTGTGCGTTGCGGATGGACGATAGTTTCTATTGGCGACGGCCCAGGCACCCCCCAGCAGCGTGCCAATGCCGTTGTCACTGGTTTGTTGTGCGAGCCCGTCCCCGAAGTCGATGGGGCCGAGCTTCTCGCCCTTATCTATGTGCTGAACCTCTCCTTGCCTCCTGTCCGCGTGTTTTCGCACTCTGATTTTGTTGTCCGAAGGATCCTGGAGAGGGGCGACGCCGCCACCACCCACCCCAAGGCGGCCTGGGCCCACCTCTAGAGGAAGTTTTGGAAGCTTTCAGATGAGCTTGGAGGCCTAGGTCCCTCTGGCCTCTCGGTCTCGAAGGTCGAAGCCCACGCCATTTTCGCCGACGTCCAGGCTGGCCGCGTGCGAGGACCTGGCCGCACGGCCAACAACATGGCCGACGAGGCGGCCAAGCAGGCCGTGCGGCCCCACCGCGCGCCGCCCGATGTTTTCTCGCGCTTTGACCTGTCCGACCGTTTCGTTTTTGGTGGCGGTTTCTGGATTGCGATGGCGGGAGCAACCGCTGCCGAACTGGACACCACCCACAGGGTCAGCTTTGAGCGGTCTGCCCCCCACTCTCCCGTTGTGCGAGCCCAGAGTTGTGCACTCGGTGGTGTCGGTGGGCGGCGCTGTGTGGTGCCGTGTCTGTAGGTGCGCGGGAATTACACGTCGTTCATTCCTAACCGTGCTCATTTTTGAGCGCGCTCGTTTCCATGTTGTTCCTGGCCCCTTGGTGGCCAGGATGAGGCCCAGGATGGAACAGACAGAAATGAAAAGGGACCTTTGGCCCCCCGAAAACATCGAAGAACCTGCGAAGACTTGGACACGAGCGGCGGGCACATTTGGAGGGGACCGCGGGGGGAGCGCCCTGCCGAGGGCCGCCGCGGCCGCGGGGGGCCCCCTTGGCCGACGGCCGCCCCCTCCCGCCCCGCTGCCGTGCGCGAGGCCCGTGGGCACGGTGCGGTGCCAGTCGTCGCGTCCGGGTCCCGCCCCTCGCGCCCGGCAGCGGCACGCCCAGGGAGCACGGGGGACGCACGCTCAAGCAGCCGATCCGAAGTTTCATGCCAGGGTCTGGGAGCAAGCTGCCACTTGCTCGACCGAGCGTGTGGAGTTGGTGTAGTTCGTTTCGTGTTCGTTTCGTGTTCGTTCGGCGTTCATGGATGGCCACGTTCTTTCTGCAATGTCTCGAGGAGGAGGAGGAGGAGGAGGAGGAGGAGGAGGAGGAGGAGGAGGAGGAGGAGGAGGAGGAGGAGGAGGAGGAGGAGAAAGAGACTCCCCCGCGCACTGGCCCGCACCGCACCACTCGCGGCCCTGACTGCTCCCTCCCCCTGCAGCCATCGTGCGCACCAGGAACAAGGAATAGGGGACGACGGCCACGGCGGGCCTCGGCTTATGTTGCTCCCATCGTACTTAAGGACAGCGTCCGAACAACAATTCCGAGCACCCAGATGAGCATCGAGACAGTGTCGAACCAGTATCGCCCCCCAGGGCCCGACACTTGAAAACCTGCAAGTTTCGGTTCCTGGGCCCCAAGCAGGGATGCAGCCCCTTGTGGTGTGCCACGCCCCCCTGGCACAAGGGAGAACTGGACCCCGAGGGAAACGAGCCTTGGACTTGGGGCTCTCCCTGGAACGAACGTGTTCACCCCCAGCCGTCTTCTGCTGGCCCAGGGGGAGGGCGCCGGGAGACCGAAAACAACCCAGTCCGGGGACGAACAGGCACCCTCTTACCAAAACACCCTTGCGCGAAAACGGCCCATGATCAGACCCAGCGGGAGCAGGCCTACAAACGTGACGGCGACAACCTCATCTCGAGAACCCCAAGAGAAGGAACACTGCGGGCCGACTTGGCAGGGTGGACCCCGTCCCTTTTCCCGCAGGACCCCTCTATTCTATTGCGAGGGCAACCCGGCCCACGCAGCACACACATGGGTGCTCCGACGCCGTGGTCTTCCCGCGGCGCATGCCCGGGAACCTTCGCCCGGAGGGGAGGAGGAGGAGGAGGAGGAGGAGGAGGAGGAGGCAGGGAAGGAGGAGGAGGAGGAGGAGGAGGAGGAGGAGAAGGCAGGAGAGAAGGAGGAGGATAAGGAGGAGGAGGAGGAGAGGAGGAGGGGGAGGAGAAGGGAGGGAGGAGGAGGAGAGAGGAGAGGAGGAAGAAATGAGGGGGAGAGAGGGGAGGAAGGGAGGAGGGGGAGGAGGAGGAGGAGGCGATGAGGATGAGGGGAGGAGGAGGAGGCGGAGAGGAGGAGGAGGGGAGGAGGAGGGGAGGAGAGGCCGAGGAGGCGGAGGAGGAGGAGGATGAGGCGGAAGTGAGAGGATGAGGAGGAAAGGAGGAGGAGGAGGAGGAGGAGGAGGAGGAGGAGGAGGAGGAGGAGGGAGCCTGCGCCCGGACCCCGCCGCGGGGGGCAAAGTTCTTCGCCGCGGAGCTGCCTCTGCTGCTGCGGGGCCTGGGCCGCCTGCCTGCCGCCAGCGACGGCCCGCAGCCGAGAGGCCGACCCCGCGACACGCGGGAGCCGCCCGGCCGCGCCGCGCAGAGATCGCCTGCAGGCACGAGTGGCCCCAGGCACCAGTGACCTCTGGTGCGCGGCCTGCCGACGGTTGCGCGCCAATGGGCAGCATCGGCCCGCGTGCTCGGGCTTGGGCGCCGCCCCGCGCTCCCCGCAGGCCGCGCACCAGAGGCCGCTCCGGGGAAAGAGGCTGCGGGCACGATGTATATATCCACGTCCACTGCGTCTTGGCGTTTCTGGGAGGGGGCGCCAACAGGCCGCGGCGCAGTGGACATGGACACAAATGGACCTCCAGGGGCGAGGTTGCCTTGCCCACATCCACGGCGCCTCTGGCATCGGAGGAAGGGACGCTCGAAACTCCAAGACGCGGTGGATCTGGACAAGAATCCAGGCCCGAGGGGTCCCTCTCACGCGCAGACTTAGGTTGCTCCTATCGTACTTAGGGACCGCATCCCAGAAATAAGTTCGAGCACCCGGAAGAATGCCGAACGAGTGTCGAAGCAGTGTCGAAACGAGTGTCTCCTGGGGCCCGACGCGTGGAAACCCTCGAGCTTCGGTGCTTCTTCGGTGCTCGAACTTCTTTCTGGTGGTCAAGGCTGGAACCTCATATATGCGCAGACGACAGAAGGAAGGCGCCCGGCGCGCCCCCGGGCGAGTCCTCGGCCGACTCGATGCTCGCGACGGCGATAGCGGCCATCTCCTGGCGCAGGAGAGCCCGCGGGCCGGTCCCGAGCGCGAACCGCGCCCCCGGGCGCTGGGGGGCTGCCGGCGGTGGCCCAGGGCCGGAGGCACGTCGGCCCCCGGGACGTCGGCCCCGCAGGGGGCGGGGGAGGGGGAGGGGGAGGGGAGGAGGACAAGCTAGGTGCGCTCGCGTCATATCTGACGTCGTACCCCTCCCTCCCATCCCTTACCATGGCGCTGATTTTCTCTATCCGCGGACGCGTGTCGTAGCGGACCTGTGGCTACGCGCGCGCGTGCGTAGTGGGTGGTGGTGCACGTGCGTGCGTGCGTGCGTGCGTGGTGCGTGGTGGTGGTGGTGGTGGTGGTGGTGGTGGTGGTGGTGGTGGTGGTGGTGGTGGTGGTGGTGGTGGTGGTGGTGGTGGTGGTGGTGGTGGTGGTGGTGGTGGTGGTGGCGGTGCGGCGCGGTGGTGGCGGGCGGATGGGCGCGCGAGAAAAAGGCCCGCGCTGGGGCGAGAACGCCATCCTGAACGACGGAGGCCAAACACCGATCCGAAAATGAGGCCCACGCTGCAGCGGGAGCACGATTCGGAACGATTCGGGAGCAGAAATGAGGCCGGCGCCTCAACGAGAGCACATTTTGGGAAAAAATGACGCCGGCGCCGCAGCGAGAGTCGTTTCCCGGGATTTCCCCGGAATCCAGTGTGTAAAAAAACAGTACGCGGAGGGTGGCCAGATATGCGCTGGCCGATCACCCGGCACGCCATCAAGGAAGAGGGAGAGTATATTTCATATTGATATGTGGAGGAGGAGGAGAAGGATGAGGGGGGAGGAGGAAGGGGAGGGGGGAGGAGGAGAGGAGGAAGAGAGGAGGAGGAGGAGGAGTAGGGTGGTGAGGAGGAGGAGGAGAGATGAGTAGGAGGGGGAGGAGGGGGAGGAGGAGGAGGAGGAGGAGCAAACTCTGACCTCAAGCATGCTGACGTCCCTCCTTTTCCTCTCCTGCCATTTCGCCAGGCCCGAGATGAGAGGCCTCCCAGACAGGGTAAGAGCAGATGCGGTCGGAGGGTGATCGCGCCGCATCGCCAATGCATCGGCGACGTCGGCGCGGGGAAAATCGGGCTCCACCTCGAGTCGCATCGGCGATGCATCGGCGACCTGCGGCGCGATCCTCCGACCCCATCTACTCTGACCCCAGCTGGGAGGCCTCGACTTCCGACGACCCCGCCGGCGCTTCCTCCCGCCTGCTCGTTCGTTGCTGTCTGCCTGCTTCTCCCCTCCTCTTCCCCCCCCCCGTCGGACAGCACAGCCTGCCTGGAACCAGTCAGCGGCGCGACGTGGAGCTTCCGCGGCCTCCCTGCGCAAACGCCCAAGCGCTGGCCGATCACTTCACTACTGAGTGAGAGCCTGTGAACTTTAGGCCGGGCGTGTCCCCCTGCGGATTTGGGAAGAAAAACAGAAAATAGTCAAAACATGTCCCCTAAATAGCCAGACATAGTCGAAACCTCGTCCCCAGACTATCGTTTGACGACTTCCTGAAGACCCCTCCTGGTAGAGGGACGTGCCCGCCTCAAGGCAGAGGGACTTTTGGAACGCTCCTCCTGTAGAGGGACTCTTTGACTATGGACGGCTCGACCACACTCCTCCTGCGTTTCGGATTCCCTTCGGGGATCATCCGTTAAACTTGGAACGATGCAGAGAAGATTAGCATGGCCCCTGCGCAAGGATGACACGCACAAATCGAGAAGCGTATACAATGTTTTGGTTTTGCGCAGACGCGCCGCGCCCCCCACCCGACGCTCCAATCTGGAGCGGCCCGCAGAGGGGCCGCTTGACCGCTTGACGAGGAGGAGGAGGAGGAGGAGGAGGCGGAGGAGGAGGAAGGAGGAGGAGGAGGAGGAGGAGGAGGAGGAGGAGGAGGGAGGAGGAGGAACGAGGAGGAGGAGGAGGGAGGAGGAGGAGGGAGGAGGAGGAGGGAGGAGGAGGAGGGAGGAGGATGACTGTTTGACCACCCCTCCCGAATGCTTGCCTTCCGCCGAGCCTTCCGCCGGCGGACCCGCCGCCCCTCCCGCTCCCGCCGCTGGCGGGACACGCGCCGCAGGCGCACGCCCGCCCGGGCACGCCCCGGCTCCGCTGGAGGTCGGGCCCGCCCCTCTGCGGGAGGAAGATTCAGACATAGCCCAAACATAGTCTGGGGACTGCTTTCTCCAGCTTTAAAAAAAACCATTTTGGCATATATCTTGGGGTATCTCCTGTGTTTCGTCGACCATCCCCCCCCCTGCAGGGGGACACGCCCGTCCCTCTACAGAAGGAAGATTCAAAATCAGTCCAAAAATAGTCTGGGGACTGCTTTCTCCAGCACGCTGTTTAAAAACCATTTTTGCATATTTTTGGGGTGTTATTATGATTATTATTACTATTATCATTATCATTATCATTATTGTTACTGTTATTGTTATTATTATTATTATTATTATTAGTAGTAGTAGTAGTAGTAGTAGCATTAGTACTAGTATTATTAGTATTATTTTTACTACTATTATTATTATTATTATTATTATTAATATTATCATTATTATTATTGTTATTATTGTTATTATTTCTCAGAAAAAACAACATATTGACATATTTTTGGGGGGCATCTCCTATGTTTCGTCGACCACCCCCCCTGCAGGGGGGGCACGCCCGACCTGAGGCTCCGCGCGCCGACGCGCGGGGGGGGCCCCCCGCGCGGGTGCGCGCCAGGTCCCCCCGCGGTCGGCCCCGGCGCGCGGTCTCTCTCCCAGATGGTCTGGTATACCGGAAATTTTCGGTAGCGATTTCGACGCACCCCGAATTTCGGTAGCGACTGGATCTTCGTTTGAGGGCGTTGAAATAGCGGATTTCAGAACGGTCTGATACCGGTATTGGGCGCTACATTTCGGTATTTCGGTAGCGACCGATCTCTGCGGAGCGCTACCGGAAATTTTCGGTAGCGGACCATCAGGGCTCTCTCTCTCGCGCGCGGGGGGAGTGGCAGAGGGCAGAAGACTCGCCATCGCTCGGACGTCCATTCCTCGCGTATTTTTCGATTTCGTGCGTGTTTTTTTCGCCAAATGATCAAGGATGGTCCTCGATGGCCGTCGCCGACAAAAAATGCACACGTCCGAGCGATGCCAAGAAGAAGCCCACCCCGGGCACGCGGAGGCGTTCCGCAGACGCACCCCCCCTGACCTGCCAGAGAGCTAGTGTTTTTTGGCACCGGAGGCCCAAAAGCCTAAAAGCACTGGGCGAGAGAGCCTTCTGTAAGACCAGGACCTGTGTACAATAGCTTCTGGGTCGGTTTTTGAGTCGGGTGCTACTTTTTAGCCCTCCTGGAAGGTCAGGGCAAAGAAGGAATCCAACGGGCCAGGGCTGTTCAGTAAACGACCAAGGCTGTTTAATAAACGCCAGTTTGAAGGGGCCCTGGGACACACAAATAATTACACACAAATAACAGGATCCCCCATATTTTCTTATATTTTCTGGGTTTTTGTCTCCCCAACCACTTCCCATATTTTCCCATATTTTCCTGGGCCAAGGCGGCTGGGAAACATCCGCGCGGGGCAGCCCCAGGCGTGTGGACCTCGAGGGAACAACACACGATGGGAGGCTCTCGGCAATCCTCGGCCTCCGGGAGCCCTCTCGCCGAGCCGCGGGGCCGTAACAGAAATGACTCGGGTCGAAGATACTCCAGATTTCGTAATAAAAGGGAGGGGGTCTGGACCCTCCAAGACAAGCCATTTCAGACCTCCCCCGTGGGAGAACCCTCCAAAACATCGTCCCCAGACCCCCCCAGGCCCTCCAAGATAGCCTGGAAGAGACCCCCCCCGAAATGAGACCCCCCTCCCTTTTATTACGAAATCTGGAGTATCGGCCCTGGGGAAAGGGTCGGGACCTCCAAGAGCCGCGTATACTGAAACCGTGTCGCACGCCTGCGGCCCCGCGCCCGCTCTGCGCAGCCCCCACCCGCCCGCGCACCGAGAGGGCCGGGGAGCTTCCCCCTGCAGTCCTTCGCGCCCCCGCCTCCTCTTCCCCCTGCCTTCCCCCCTCTTCCCTCGCCCCTGCGCCTCCCGATCCACCCCCTCCACCTGCTCCTGCCCCTCCCCATCCTTCCTCCTCCTCGCCCCTCCACCCTCCCTCGGCCCCTGCCTCCTCCTCGTCCTCTCCCTCCTCCTCGTCCCTGCTTTCCCTGCCGCTTGGAAACCCACGTGGCGCAAGTCATGTCCGTGACGGGAGGCGACGACCGGTGCCCAGTGGCCGGGCCACGCCACCGGAGTCCCTGCCGAGGCGCTTTCCGAGGCGGGCCCGCGCGGACCCCGAGGGCGTGCAAGCGGGCTGTCAGTCAGTGGAGGCGCTCGGTGGCGTTGCCGACCGTCCAGGCGTACGATCAGAAAAACGGTTCATCGTGCAGCTCGGGGGCGCTGGGCATTGTGGGCCCCGGAAGCGGCAGGGCCGTTTTTCACCGTTTCCCCAAAAATGTCCCTTGAAAATGGAAACGGCAAAAAAACGGCGACCGGAAACGGCAACAAAAACGGCTCCAGGATTGGAGCCGGAGCCAGAACCGGTCAAAAAACGGCGACGGAACCGGTAAAAAAACGGCGTCGGAACCGGTAAAACAACGGCAAAACGGAACCGGTAAAAAAACGGCCCTGTCGTTTCCAGGGCCCACTAAGGCGCTGGGTGCCGGTGGACTCCAGAATGGCTTCCAATGCGGGGGCCGCTTGCTTCTGGTGCGCGGTGGGCGTCGTGGGGGCACACGGCGTGGCGTTGTTGCCAGGCCTGCCTGGGCACTGGCGTGAGCGGCTGGCCGCGTTCCACTGGAAGGATGGGTGGCCGAGGGGATCGCCGCCGTCCCGTGGGCGTGCCCGCCTTGTGCCGCTCGGGCTCCCGAGGGTTGCACTCTGTTTGAGCGCCTCGGGCACCTGCTGACCGCGTGCTTCGGATCTGGAACTGGAGCTTCCCAAGGGACTCCATCGTCTTATGCGCTATCGGAAAAGTGCACATAGGAGGAGGAGGAGGAGGAGGAGGAGGAGGAGGAGGAGGAGGAGGAGGAGGAGGAGGTGGCGGACGAGCAGGGGAATGAGCAGGACGAATCAATGCTAAGAGGATGAGGAAGGATGAGAACGACGAGGACGAACAGCAGCAGCGGAAACTGGAGCGAAAGGAGCGGAAGGAGCAGGAGGACCAGGGGAAGGCGGAGGAGGGGAAAGGAGGGGTGGCGACAACGGTGAGGAAAGACCTGGATCCAGAAAATTTGCACGCGCTGGGGCGAAAGCGCCATTCTGAACGATAGGAGCAAAGTGCCGATGCGAACGTGAGGTAGACAAGCAAACGGAGAAAATTGTTCGGTCGAGCGAAGAACAATCGCTTGGCGAACGAAGTCTTTTTTTTCCGGCGAGCCAGGAAATTCCCCGGACCCAGCGGGGAAGCTATTTCGGGCGAGCGGGGAAGTCTTCCTCGGCCGAGCGAGGAAATCATGTCGGGCGAGCGGAAGCATTTACCCCGTCGAACGAGGAAATGCACGCGGGCCTTCCGCCGCGGAAGAGACGGCAACTCCCGCGATCCTCGAAGGCGAAGTAAATTCCGGATGTCCCACATGGTAAGAACCCTTGCCCTCGAAATTCAAGCTGCACCCTGCACCCTGCCTGAAAGCCGCTGCCGCGAACACAGTTTCAAAACTAGGGCGACGCGCCTGCCGGTCGCTCCCGGATGACTGGGGGGCCCAGCGCTCCCCTTGACCACCCTGAGAGGTGGATCCTAGGCGATGGGGCTACAGAAATGGAAATTGAAACTGATGAGCCAGTACTGAGCTCGAAGAAATAAAATCGAATAGCACCGAAAACCAATTTTCGTTCGGCCAAGAACAATTTTTCATTGAGCAACAAGTTTCCCCCGTTCGACAGGAAAAACATCTCCGTCCGACCAAAACATCCCCGCCGTTAAGGACCGACTTTCTCGGTTCGCCAGTGGATTGCCTTGTTCGCCTTTTCAACTTAACGTGAAGCCATCGGTGCAGCGGCAGCACCATTTCGAGACACCGAAAACGTTCCGATCGAAAAAACATGGGAAACACAACATCAGAACACCCTGTTTAGAAAACAATGCGAGAAGGGGGCTGGCTAACCGTGGGAAGCCATTAAGACCCCACCACAAATGTTATCGCTCGCGCCGAAAGGAAAATACAAGTCCGCGGAGGCGGACTCAGTGGGGCGATATCTTCAGGACAGCACCAAACCGCAACCAATACATAATGATTGCCCCCCCGCGCACAAATGGAAAATTTGGTGTTCTAATATGTCTGATGTCGCAAGACGATACATTGATGCCAGTGTTGATTAATTACTCCAGTGGCGCCATCCCTGGTGTGCTGAGACTGCGAAGCTGTCACCAGTTGGGGCCCCCGTGGAGTGCTAAGCAACGGTCAAGTGCCACGGTACCAAGTTGACGCTTCAAAGTGCTGGCTGCGTTATCGTTTCACCAGAGGGGGGGTTCTCGGGGCGGACGTCATATCTGACGTCCTACCCCTCCCTCCCATCCCTTACCATGGCGTAGATCTCCTCTCTATTCGCACAATCGGACGCCGTAGCATGGCATAGCATTACATGGCATAGCATGGTGTTGAAGATCTGCGCGTCGCATGACATAGCATGACGTGGCGACGCCCCAAAGTAGGGGCCTCTGCGGCCAAACAACAAATCAATCGACACCGAATGTGCAATCACATCCGATGGTTGTTTCGGGGGGCCATTTTCCAGATTTTGGGGCCTGTTCGGAAGGATCGACAACCATGCCGTTGCATGGCGCTGCATGGACGCGAGCGCTGCAGCGGGAGCACGATTCGGAACGAGCGGAAGCGCGGAAAAGAGGCCAACGCTGCAGCGGGAGCACGATTCGGAACGAGCGGTAGCCCGAAAATGAGGCCAGCGCTTCAGGGAGAGCAGCGTTTTGGAAAACCCAAGGGAAAACCGGTTTCCCGGGAATGTGTGTAAAAAACCGGTGCGCAGAGGGGGGCCTGATATCTCCCGGACGCCACCAGGGAAGAGAGGAGAGTAGTATTCGCAATGCTTGGTCGTGGAGGCAGGCGAGGGCGATGAGTAATTGTTGAGTGCTCGTCGAGGGCGGCTGGGGCAGGGCCCCCGCCCCATGCAGCAGGGAGGGGGGGGCGCGCGGCATGGGGTTGGGGGGGGGGCAAGGATGACGGGCCGCTCCTCGCCGTGGAAGATGATCTGCGCCGTGGGCACGCCCTGACCGCCGTGTCCGCTCAGGGCGGGGGGCCTCCTCCTCCTCCTCCTCCTCCTCCTCCTCCTTCGCCTCCTCCTCCTGCTCCTCCTCCTCCTCCTCCTCCTCCTCCTCCTCCTCCTCCTCCTCCCCTTTTCCTCCTCCTCGTCTTGCTCCTCCTCCTCCTCCTGCTCCTGCTCCTGCTCCTGCTCCTGCTCCTCCTCCTCCTCCTCCTCCTCCTCTCCTCTCTCCTCCTCTCCTCCTCCTCCTCTCCTCCTCCTCCTCCTCCTCCTCTTCCTCCTCCTCCCATCCTCCTCCTCCTGCTCCGCCTCCTCCTCCTCCTCCTCCTCATTCCGCCTCCTCCTCCTGCTCCTCCTCCTCCTCCTCCTCCTCCTTCTCCTCCCCCTCTCCTCCTCTTCTTCCTTCTCCTCCTCCTGCTCCTCCTCCTCCTCCTCCCCCTCCTCCTCCTGCTCTTCTCCCCCCCCATGCAGGATGGTCGTAGTGCGAGGGGGATCGAGGATCGAGGGAGGACATTCGAGGGTACAGACTCGAGGAAAGATGGCGTTTATCGCCGTTGGGGCCTTTGGGGCCCCCCTGAGCGCCCCTGTCGCCGAACTGCTGGGGGGGGGGGGGGTCGGGGAACAAGCGATGACATAGACATAACCTTCGGAGGTCCTCGCGGAATTCTCGGATCGGCGCTGGAGCCCCCTGGCGGCGCCTCTGGCGCCGTCCCTGGCGCGCTCCGAGCGCCAGGGAGGGGTTTCCAGAGCCAGTTCAAGAAACCAGCGTCAGCTCGGACCTCCAAAGGTTCATGTTTACAGCACGCTTCTTAGTATTATGATTATTATTATTATTATTATTAGTAGTAGTAGTAGTAGTAGTAGTAGTAGTAGTAGTAGTAGTAGTAGTAGTAGTACTATTATTATTGATATTATTAGTATCAGTATTATTATTAGTCGTATGATTATTATCATCATTATTCGTATTAGTAGTTTATTGTTATTATTATTTCTATTAATGTTGTCATTAATATTGTTATTATTACCAGCATTCGTATTATTATGTGTAGTATTAGTAGCATTCGAATTATGATTCTCATTCTTGTTTGCATCATGAATATATTATTAGTATTATCATTATTATTATTATTATTACTTGCATTATGGTTAATATTCGTAGTATTGATACTATTACGATCAGTATTGTCATTACTACTACTACTACTACTACTACTACTACTACTACTACTACTACTACTACTACTACTACTACTACTACTACTACGACTACTACTACTACTATTACCACTACGATTATTAGTATTGCTATTACTACTGCTAGTATGAGTGGCAATATTATTACTATTATTATTAAGGTTGTGACTACTGTTATTAGTATCACTATGGGTATTAGTATCAGTGGTACTAGTCGTGTTTTTAGTATATTAACAGTATTAACATATTATTATATTATCCGTACTATCGTTATTATAACTATCATTCTGATTACGACTATTACTAGCACTGAAATTATTATGATCATGGTGATCAGTCTTATTCGTATTATTACTGTTCTTCTTCTTCCTTCGATGGGGGGAGGGGGCGCAGCTCGCGCCGGCCCCGGGGGGGACGGGCCCGGGAGCCCAGCGGGCGGCGCGCGCAGACGGGGGCGTGGCGCGAGGGCTGGGGGCAGTCTTCCAGGGAGGCGCAGGGCCGTTCTGGAGGGCGGGGGGCCTCGAGGGCACAGAAGGCCTCGCGGGCAGCCCCCGAGTTTAGGTCCGGCATGTCCTCCTACAGTCAGCCGATAGAATGAGGATGGGCGATGTGCAAGGGCCTTGGAAGGCCGTTTCGAAGCTTTGCGAGCGGGGCGCGGCCAACGAAAGTGGCCCAGGATGGACCGAGGAGGGAAGGATGCAAGGGTACCCTTGGAAAGGTTGCCCATCCTTGTTATGCGGGTCGACTGTACAGCGCTGATTTTGGGAGCAAGATTAAAATTGTTAAAAACAACAACAATCAAACATACTGAAATAATCACCCCCTGACTATTAATGGCTATCTTTGAATATTCCTCCTGTACAGGGACACGCCCGACTTAATCCCAAGGGGAACCTCAACGCGCTCCACGTGGGCTCAGGAGCGCCTTGGATGATGATCGAGACGATGCTGCTACAATTTTTTCACCTGACCCCCAGGAACTTTGCACCGCCCTTGCAGGCGTGCTGCGGCGGATTTTTGTGTGGATTTCTGCGTGGATTTTTTCCCGAAGCGGCGAGCGAAAAATGGAGTGAATTTCGCGTGAATTATTGGAGTCTTCATTCCTGGCCTTCAAAAGCCCGCACGAAATTCGCTGCGAAATCCGGAGCGAAATTCTCCAGGACACTCCGGGCCCATCCCATCGTTCTCCGCACGACATCCGCTCTGCGATGTTGGCGCCATGACGCCCTGGCTCTGGCCTCGCTGCCGAGGCGCGCTGGGGCCAGATGCCCACGGAACGCGGTGCATGGAAGCAAGGAACAGCGCGGGCTCAGGAGCGCCTCGGGCGCCTCGTCCCTCTTCCACGCGGGCCCAGGAGCGCCCTGGAGGACAAGCTCGAGACGGTGCTGCTGCAGCTTTTTCGTCTGGCCCCCCCCCCCCCTCCCCCGGAAGCTTGGCACCCTGGGGCTCTGGCCTCGCTGCCGAGGCGCGCTGGGGCCAGATGCCCACGGCACGCGGTGCATGGAAGCAAGGAGTAGCGCGTGGGCTCGGGCGCGCCTGGGGCGCCTCGTCCCCCCGTCCGTCCGTCCGTCCGCCCGGCTCCGCAGGCAGGCCGGGAGGGCTGCCGTTGAGTCGGGCGCGCCCCCCCCCCCTCAGGAGGATTTTGGACGATTTTTTTGGCTATAGAATCCAAAGACAGAACCCAAAAATGCCCAACCAAGATATTCAAAAATGATCGAAAGATCGCCCCCGCAATATTTTTTGATCATCTTTGGATCCTCCTCCTCTAGCGGGACGTGCCCGGCTTGAGGATACCTTCTCTGTGAAACCCCCCGCCGGTCATCGCAGAAGGCCGCGCGCCTCGCGCCACCCCGCCCGCACGCGCCACCAACCTCGACCCTGCGCCCCGATCCTCTCGCGGGGGGGAGGCGGCGACCCCCATCCCTGACGTGGGGTGGGGGGGGGGGACACTGTCGGGCCGGGCGGAAGGGGGGGATAGCAAAGGCGGGGTTCGAGAATCAGCTCGCGTAGCTGCTTTTCCCGGCGCCTCCCAGCGCGGGAGGCGGCGAATGCATCGAGGAATGGGCCCCTCGGTGGGGCCGAAGCCAACTGCACGCAGCAGACTTCGTAACCCCCCCTTTCCCAATCCCCCCCCCTTCCGTCCGCCCCGAGCCCTGCGCCCCGATCCTCTCAGGCGGGCGAGGCGGCGCCCCCCACCCCTGGCGCTGAGGTGGGGGGGGGGCACTGGGCCCGGCAGGTGGAGCCTTCAACCGTGGGATGTGCAGTGAGGGGGGCGCCCACCCCCCTCCCCCTCCTCCTCCTCTTCCTCCTCCTCCTCCTCTCTCCTCCTTCCTCCCTCTTCCCTCCTCCCTCCTCCTCTTCCTCCTCCTCATCCCTCCTCCTTCCTCCCTCCTCCATCCTCCCTCCTCTCCTCCTCCCTCCTCCCTCCTCCCTCCTCTCCTCCTCTCCTCCTACCTCGCTCATCCCTCCTCCCTCCTCCTCCCTCCTCCTCCCTCCTCGTCCTTTCCACCTCTTCTGAGCGGCCTGGCATGTCGGGCGGAACTCAGGGATCGGGGGAGGCACTTCGCCTGCGATCACAGGTCTCGTCCCACAGCCTTGCAAGGGCTACGCCGCATCAGATCGGCAGGTCGGCTCGTGCGTCGGATCGGGCTGCATCGGCACAGAGTCGGAGTCGAGTTGGGTCGGTCGCGTCACGATGCACGACATCGGCATGCAAAAATCGGGCCGCATCGCGTAGTCGGAATGTCTCGGGATCAAATCGTATCGTCCCGGCCAAAGTCGCTATCGAATTTGCTCGATGATATCGAAATCGACAATGCCTGCCCATCTTGCTCCCCAGGTCCTCGATCTCGCCCCCCCCCCATCCTTCATTTTGGCCCCTGTTGCCCCCCGCGATCTTCGACCTCGCCCCCCAATCCTTGAGTGTTCGAAGTTCGAGGTGCCATCCAAATTTCGATGCTCGAGGCTCGAGGACGATCGAGGTTCGAGGGAAGACAGTGGAGGTTCCAGACTCGCGGAAAGAGGGCGTCTACCGCCTTTAGGGCCTCGGGGAACGTCCGTCGCCGATACGCTCGGGGAAGGGGGGGGGGCATCTCGCGCATGCCTGGGGAGGAAGAGTAAGTTAGGCGATCGAACAAATCATCGCACCATGCATTTTCCTCGATTTCGGCTTCTGGGTGCTCATTTCGGACCGCGGAGCCGTCAGACATCGATCCTGGGATGGCAAGCTTACCAGGATGGACCCCTTGAATGGCACTGGGACTGGACTCGAGAGCATTTTGAATGGCGGAGGGGGAGGAGGAGGAGGAGGAGGAGGAGGAGGAGGAGGAGGTGAGGAGGAGGATGAGATTGAGGCGGGGCAGGGTGGGAGGAGGCGGGGGGTGGGGCGAGGATTGGATTTGGTTGAGAAGGAGCAGGCTGTCCTCGAGAGAGTTGGGTGGTGAATGCTCCTTGCTCCTCCTCCTCCTCCTCCTATCCTCCTCATCCTCCTCCTCCTACTGCTCTACCTCCGCCTCCCTCCTCCTCCTCCTCCTTCTCCTCCTTCCTCCTCCTCCCTCCCCCTACCTCCTCCTCCTCCTCCTCCCTCCTCCTCCTCCCTCCTCCGCCTCCTCCTCCAGGCCACGGCGATCGTCGTCCTCCTCCCTCCTCCTCCTCCTCCTCCTCCTCCGCCCATCACCCCTCCCCCTTCCCCTCCCCCTCCCCCTCCCCCCGCGGTCTCCCCTCCTCTTCCTCCTCTTCCTCCTCTTCCTCCTCTTCCTCCTCCTCCTTTTTACTCGGCACGAGCGCACCCTCAACAATCGATGATCGAAGGGGCACCGTAGACCCTGTGGGTCTTAAAATTATCCCGGCAAAGCAACCTAACAGCGATGTGTAGGAGCATATCTGGAAGCATTCCCCTTCAGATTCAGATGAGAATCCAGTTGTAGAATTCTGCTGTTCTCGCAGTCGTAGTCGCATTCGCGATGACAGTCGCAGTGGCAACGGCAGTCGCAGTCACAGCCTCAGCCTCAGCCT